TCATCAGAGGGTGCATGTCTTATTTACCTAGTGCTGGTGTAACACAAATGCCACAGTGTGCGGCTTTAAAGAACAGAAATTTATTTTGTCACAGTTCTGGAGGCTAATAGTCCAAATCAGGGTCTCAGCCATATCGATTCCTTCCTTGTGAGTAGCCATGGGTATTCCTTGGTTCTTTGGCATTCTTGGGCATTCCTTGGCTTGTAGACAATCCTCACGTGACGTCTGTCTTCTCCCATGTTTGTGTCTCTGTGTCTGTTATGGTCTTTTTTATAACTCAGGTGATTAGGTTTAGGATCCACCTTACACTTGTATGACCTCACTAACATAATGGAAGAAAGACCCTATTTCCAAACGAGTCATATCCACAGATACAAGGGCCAAGAATTCAATATGTATTTTGGGGGAATACAATTCAATCCATAGCAGTACAGTACACAACATTCACACAGGACTGGAAATAGTGCCTAGTTCCACCTGTGAGACTGGAAAACCTCATAATGCACAGAGGATTTGATAGAGTATTCAGAAGATTCTTGCCTTAGTAGTGGGAGGTAATTAGCCCTTGACTAAACATTTATCTGGTCCTACTTAACAAATTCTAAAAGCAAGACTCAAAAAGATCAAACTATTTCCAAGTAACTGAAATACAGTTCAGAACAAAACTCAAGAATATTTACAGGAAAACAAAATAGCCAGCACTCAACAACATAAAAATCGCAAGGCCTAGCATCAAATCAAAGATTACCAGGGATGTAAAGAAGCAGGAAAATATGAATCACAACGAGGAGAAAAATTAATCAAACAAAACTGATCAAAGCTCAGTCATCCAAGGCACAACAATTGGTCTCTTATTCACCTGGAGCAACAGAAGAAGAAGGAGAGTCAGGTATTGGAGAAGGATACGGAATGAGTTGCTAACTGCCTCCATGAACTACTGCCTCCTTTGCAGTGAGATCGGAAGAACTGGATGGTGCCCAGCTACCATTACTGGACATTTTGATTAAGGATTCTATAGAGGAATCCTTGATCAAAAGGGGTAAAAAGCAGAACAGAATGGCAAATTCTTATGGAATACAGAATTTCTGGAGGTATGGAGGCTGGATGAACCTCTGGAACTTCATTGCCCTAAGATAATCTTTAATAAAACCTTAAACCAAAAATATCCCCTGAAGTGTCCTTAAAACCAAACAGTAGTTTAGCTTAACTAGTAAAGAATGTCTGCCTTGAGCATTATGCTGTTTTAAGACCTATTTATATGCGATCAAATTGACAAGAGCAACTGGAAAAATAAGATAGGAACCTTAGGGGTAAATGAGTTTATGTTAATGGAACAACTCAGAAAAGGAGGGTGAGAATGGTTGTACAACGTGAAGAACGTAACCAATGTCACTGAATTTACATGTAGAAACTTGGATTTGTGTATGTTTTTGCTGAGTATATCTCAACAACAACAAAAATAAATTATTAAGAAAAAAACTGACTTAAAACTAACATGTTAGAATCAGCAGACAAGGACATTAATATTTATCGTTACTGTATTCCACATGTTCAAAAAGGAGAGACATCAAAGATATAAATAGAACTCAAAAAAGTATTTGATGAAATCCATTTTCCATTTCTGATAAAAGCTCTCGGCAGAGTAGGGATAGAAAGGAATTTCATCAACCTGATTAAGGGCATCTATGAAAAACCTAAAACATCATACTTAATGGTGAAAAACTTTGTGCTTTTTCCCCTAAGATCAGAAACAAGAGGGTGTCTGATCTCACACTTCTTTTATTCAACATTGTACTGATGGGTCTAGCGAGTGCGGTAAGGCAAGAAAAAGAAATAAAAGGTATGTAGGTTGGAATGCAAGAAGTAAGACTGTCTTTATTTGCAAACAACATGAACATTTATGTAGGAAACTCAATGGAATCTACAAAAGAATGCTTCTGTAATAAGTGTGCTCATCAAGGATGAAGGATATAAGATTGATAAACATAAGTCAATTTTATTTCTATATACTAGCCACAAATTTTGAAAATTGAAATTAAAAGAAACTATTTACAATAGCGTAACAAATTATGAATTGCTTAGGGATACACCTGACAGAGATATGCAAGACCTATACACTGAAAACTACAGAACATTGCTGAAATACTATTTTAAGGCTTTACAAAAAAAAAAAAAAATGACAACCTGATTCTTCTCAACCCATTTTTAATGTTAAACTTTAGTAAGCAGTGAGTTCATAGCTACAAATATCAATAAATAATGAGGTTAGTGTTATCCACCATTATAGAAATTTACACTAGAAACTAATCTCAAAATATAATAAATATGAGAATGTTTCAAGCCAACATTTGACTCAGGTTTATTTTTTAATAAACACTTGAGTGACAAACATCCTGTGATACACTGGGTGAACAAAAGATGCAATCCCTAATCTTGTGGAGGGAAATCTAATAGAGGGAAATAGAAAGTAAACAAATAAACGAATATAATTAGTGTTATAAAAGCAATAGCACTTATATTTGTTTGTTTTCCTTGGTAGTGCAGTGGTTGAGAGCTACAGCTGCTAACCAAAAGTTCAGCAGTTTGATTTCACCAGCCACTCTTTGGAAATCCTGTGGGGCAGTTCTACTCTGTTCTGTTGGGTTGTTGTGAGCTGGAATCGACTCGACGGCAACAGGTTTGGTTTGGTTACAAAAACAACAAAAAACAAAAAATGGAGGGGGAGAGGGTGTGCTATTTGGATTATATGGTCATAGAATGTCCAAGTGGACAGTTAGGCCAAAACCTGAAAAATCAGAAGGAACCAGCCAGGTAAGGGAAAGATTGTGATAGCCAAATGGAACATTTGCGAAGACCTTGGGTAGGGTAGATGAGGGCAGGGATATTCTAAAATCCAATAAAAAGCCAATTTGGCTGGAGTTACGGAGTGTAGAGTTAGGGAAAGAGAGCCTATTGGTCACATAAATTGAGGTAGACAGAGGTCAGATAATGCAGGATCATGTAGGAAATGAGAGGTTATTCAAAGTGTGATGGGAAGTCATCTAACAGTTTTATCCAGGCTACCAACATGATTAGATATTTTTTTAAAGATTACTCTGGCTGCTGTGGTGGACATGATAGTCTAAATTGTCACAGATGGCCCCCGTCTTGCCATAAACACATAAATGCTAAATAATGTTTTCATTAAAAAAAAAAAAATACAGCAAGAACTGAAATTCTGATGCATATTTCAAGACAAGATCCCTGAAATAATATTGAAAACCAGGAAAGGATTACCCATCAGATAAGAAGATTAGAAAAACTCAGCGTACTGCTCTGAGAAAGCAGTAAGAAACCCTGCTATCTGTGAGGAATATTAAATAGATATTTAAAAAGCACTACAAGAAACTGGCACCTGAGGCCTGTATTATATATGGGGTGGGGTCTAAATTTATATTACAAGCTGAAAAGTGGTTTAGGAAAATTGGAACTTTTAGGGCCCAGCAAAATCACTCTGTAGAGACTCTCTTAACCCAGGATACAGAACACTCCCACAGAATAAAGAACTTCTTTGAAGATAAGCCCCCAATAAAACTTTATATATCATTTGAAGAAAGCAGCCACCATGAAGGAGAGCAAACAGAAACAACACACAGAATCTCACAAACTGGGAATTATGATTTTACACAGATAGACTTTATTATCTTTCACTCTATCTCACCTATGCTTTGGTTCTCACTCAAGGCCAACAAAAAACCTTTAAAACACCGTTAACTTCCAACTCTGTTAAGATTATTGATAATTCTTGAAATTCCCCTACACTGAACTAAAGAAAGTTTATGTGCAAAATTCAACATGGGGTAGATAACGTGGTTCCACATTATCAGGTGAGCTAGATGACTGTTGCTTAGGAACGGAAAACAGCCTGTACTGACTACAAGACTGCCCCAGCAAATATTCTGGAGCTAATGAATACCTTTGTTTTAATGTATTTAGTCTATGCTCAAAAACTGGATGAAATGTGTCCTCCAGTCCTTTTGGATGGCATTTTAACTTTAAAATGTTACGGAAAATGAGTCCACATTTACAATGAAGCATCTGTGGCATCCCCAAATTTCAGAAATCACTTTAAAAGTTCAAAAGTTACAAAGGAATTTTCAAACATCCTTCACCTTTTGATCACGTATCTAAGCCTGAAAGATTCATTTCAATTATTTTCTCGGTGTGGTTTATTTTCCAGTCTATTTATTCCGATTTGTTTAAAAAATACTGACACAGTAGAGCTAAAAGTCAGAGAGATTTTCAAATGTAAGCCAAAAGTTTAAAATGTAAAATAGAGAAGAGAAACATAAAAAATGGAATAACTGGCTTTTCTCTCTGAGATCACTCTACTCTGTATGCACTTTGACAATGCATTCTATCTTCTAATCTTCGAAGACCTCCTTAAAACGAGGGAACGGAAGCCCTGAGAGGTTAAGCGTTCAAGGCAGAACCAGAACATTGAAATCAGGCTCCAGGCAGGGGAATCCTAAGAAATGTTTTCGCATCTCCAGAGCCGACGTTTTACATTGTCTTGTGTGGACATAAAAAGAGATGGGAGAACAATTTTAAGGGGAGAGATTTATGAAATCCATTAAGAGAAAGGCTGCACATTAGCGAGACTCATTCACAAAAGAAACATCAAGGAAACGACCCGCACGTAGCAGAAATTTGTGGGACGTGCTACGGCCTGCGAGAGACCTGGCTCTTCAGAGAAACCCTGTTGAACGTCTCTGTCCTCTAGCCATCTGTTATACCCCAGCCCTCCTAAACATTTCTTCATAAATAAAGCCTACATCTGATCGTTTTCTTGAGTCACTATGAAGAATAACTTCAGCGCAGTTCCCTCTTCCAGCCAACCACGCAGCTTTGCAGACAGTCTCTAATGCAGGTCTCCGCCCCAGACTTTACAGACCACTCGAAAGGCAGCCATTACGCCCGCCCCTTTCCGCCACCGACACGTAGCCACTTCCTAACTGCCTGTTTATCACCACACTTATCCCCAAAGCCATCTCTCCCTTATCTCTCGAGGAAGTTAACCCCTAGAATTAGAAAAAGGGAGAGAGAGCAGAGCCAGGGCAAGGTATAGTAATGTCTGCGTGGCCAAGTTTTCCTTCGGCAGTTTGTCCGGCATTGCCAGAGGCAGCCTCAAAAAGGGCCGGACCCGACCGCAGGGCCTTCTGTCTGGAGCCCGGCGCGCTGATTGGCTGGCCAGCCGCGGGGGAAGAACCCGGATGTGGCTGGGAGGTAGCGTTGGCAGTCCGGGTGTCTGAAGTTTGCGGTGTTCTGGGGTACCGGCAGGTCGGGGAGATGGCGCAGGCTTGGGCCGGCTTTTCTGAGGAGGAGCTGAGAAGACTAAAGCCGACTAAAGGTAACGGGACGTGCCTGCAGAGGGTCAATTCTTGGATCTGTTTAAGGGAAGGGGCGGGACTGGAGCTTTTGGAGGGGAACGGGGCCGGGAAGAGGGTGTGTTTTTTGGGAAAAGAGGTTGTAGGTGGGGTAACAGGATTGAGGTGGCTCTAGAGGTGGATGTACGTGGAGCCACGGAAAGACAGGCAGGCCCGGGGGCAGGGGTGTACTTTTAGGATAGAGGGTTCAGGAATCTATTTCGGGTATTTCACTTTTTCCTGTGAAAGGGATAGAACTTGGAAGTGGAGGTGACCCTAACGTCTGGTTGTCTCCTTTAGGGAGCATTGCTGCACAGATAGATCAGTGGTGGGAGGGTTGGGGTTAGGGTGAGGTAAAGACGAGGGGCGTACACCGTATTAGAGGAATTATAATAAACTTATAGAAGCAGGTAATGGTTGGAAAAAAGGGAGCACAGAGTCTGAATAAGCGCAAAAATTCGGTACTTTTCATAATACACCTGGATTGCTACATTCACTTCCTGTTGCCAAATTATTCTGGCAGTTCTTTTTAACTCTGAGAGTCAGCAAACTTAAAGGGTCTTTGAGGGGTTAGATGTAAAGTTTTGTATATATGTGTGACACACACACACGGGGAGACTTCTCTCACATACTTTGGACATGTTATCAGGAGGAACTAGTCCCTAGAGAAGGACATCATGCTTGGTGAAGTAGAGGATCAGCAAAAAAGAGAAAGACCCTCAGTGAGATGGATTGACACAGTAGCTGCAACAGTGCATAACAATTGTGAGGATGGCACAGGACCGGGCAGTGTTTCGTTCTGTTATATATAGGGTTGCTATGAGTCGGCACCTAACAACAATAACATTCATGCACATACATATATATACATATGTGTATATACATACATGTATACATATATATGCATACATATATACATATATATAAAAATCCGTTGCTGTCCAGATGATTCCAACACATCCATTCATATATATATATATATTTCTACCAACTTTGGGTAAGCTAAAATTTTGGGCTTCCCCTTTATGAAGTAATCACTGAGTGGGTTTATACTGTTTTGTTTTCTTTTGATGAAGCAACTAAGTTTACCTATGCTTGGTGAGACGGTCTCAGTGATATAACTATGGTTTGCTTGTGGTTGAAATTTCATGAAGATCTGAATGGATCTTGGTAGTACACACCATTTTGGGGAGCAGTTTACACCACTCTTGGTACCATAACTTATTTTTAGTTCTCAGATTATCTTCCTTTGGCACAGTTTAAACATGCACAGAAAGAGTTTACTTTGTTTAGCTGACTTACCTAAATAAGTTAAGATCAGGACACATTTTACATTCTAGGCCTTTATCTCATGCAAAGAGTTTCTCTGTAGTGTGTATTGTTTGGCTTGTAATCATGTTAATGGGAGTGATGGCAGTCCTTTTGAATAAGGAAGGGTATCTGTAGTGTCCTTATAATTTTCCCAACTTTGGGAGAAAATTAAGTAAACTTTACCATGCCTTTTATTGGATATTTGTAAGAAAATTGGATGATGCTTGGGTAGGCCTGTTTTTTGTTTGTTTGTTTGTTTAATTTTTTTAAAATTTTACTTGTTTGGGTTTTTGCTTTGTTTTGTTTTGTTTTTAGCATAGATGTGAGACTGTTCTAAGGCTGACAAGTGGAAAAGAAAGTAAATTAGTAATATAGAGCCAGTGTAGATCATATAGATGGGGGAAATTTCAACTGGTTGGTACAAAGTATAAAGGTTATACTACCAAAAACAAAACAAAAAAAACCAAACCTGTTGCCGTCAAGTCGATTCTGACCTATAGGGACCCTATAGTACAGAGGAAAACTGCCCTATAGGGTTTTCCAGGGAGTGGCTGGTGGATTCGAACTTTTGACCTTTTGGTTAGCAGCCATATCACTTAACCACTGTGCCACCAGGGCTCAGGTTATACTACAATGTGTGATTAATTGACTCTGTCTAGCTTGATTTGCTCAAATTCGTTTGCTTTGTGTTTTCAATATCCATTCACTTATTCAGATGTATGGAGTGCAAGTACCCTTTCTCTGGTCTGGTCCCAAGTTCCAGTTATCACCTCTGATTAGGAATGCAAAGATGAACAAGACATCATCCCTGCTTTCAGAGAGCTTACATGTAGTCTAGTGAGGAGAATAAACAACCTTAAAATAAAGTGATAGTAGATGTTGTACAAGAGCTTGCTGCAGAGCTAGGAGGAACCTCACTGTGCAAGGGGCTGTGGGGAGCTTGGGAAGATTTCACAAAGGGTATGTATTAGTGGAGTGAGTTTTCTAGTGGGAAGAGGACTTAATGTAGAAGCCTAAATTAAACAATACTTTGATTATGTAGAAGTACATTTCATAATATCTTGCAGTTTGGGATAGAGAGAGGATGATAAGGACCTGAATTTGAAGACCCAAGATTTGGTAGAGAGACTTTAGCGTCTAGATACCAACTCACTAACGGATGACTACCTTGAGGACAAAGAAAATATCTTACCATTTTTATACGCACATAGCCAAACACAGTGATTGGCGTGTAGACCTGCCAGCTCTACTTTTAAATCTTTTTGCCTTGGGTTTCTCATTCGTAAAAGGAGAAGAGTTGGTTCTTTACTTTTTAAGGCCCCTTCTAGCTGTTCTGCAACTTAAAAATGTAATTAATTAAATAATCTAGAAAGAGAGTTGCCAACAAAAATAAAGGCAACCGTACTCTAGAGAAACTCATATGTACTTTGGGAAACATGATGAGGAATGTTCTTAACAGTGTTGTTTATAATATTAAAAAGGTAGAAGTGAGCAAGTGTTCATTAACAAGAGAGTGGATAAATAATTTGTGGCATGATAATTCTGTGGACTACCATATAGCTAGTGTGAATATATGAACTACAGCTACATGCATTAATGTGTGTAAATTTCATAAATGTATGAAAAGAGCAAGTTGCAGAAGAATATATGTGCAGTCTGATACCACTTATATAATTTCAAGGTCATATAAAATTGACTATTCTTTTAGGGATGTAGGAAAACCGTAAAGAAAATACAGGAAATGAAACACAAAATTCAGGTTTATGAAGAGGCAGGGGCAAATATATAGGGAATTTTGAAGGTGTTGGTAATTATGAAATCAGGTTAAGCCCGATTAAGCTGCAGTAACAAATAGCCCTAAAATATCAATGGTTTAAAATAATGAAGGTTTATTTTTCACCCTTGCTTCATATCTAGCATGATTTGGCAGGTGCTTCTGCTCCACATGGCCACTCCACACTATCTTTTGGTGTGGTAATAATCAGAGTTCACTGTGGTAGGAGGAGAGGAATGTTGACAATTGAACATTGTCAATTAAATGCTTCCACCAGTAAGTGACATATGTCACTTCTACTTACATTTCACTGAACAAAAGCAAGTCATATGACTTGAGGATCTGGAAGTACAGTTCTCTTGTGTATTCCAAAAGTGGCTGTCCTTAAACAATAGTTATGTCTACTACAGTCATGTTTTATTTCTTAAGCTGGGTTATTATTATTTTATTACCCATGCACATTGGATATATATACACACACACACATACACATACATACATGAATATATACATATATATGCATATGCATATATGCACATATATTTGATGTATGATCAATTTCATAATGAAAAAAATTGAAGTAAAAAAATAATGACAACCATGTGCTGTCATTTTCTAGTAAATATTTATTCATAAGAGTTCTTTATTTTTGATAGTAGTTCTTTGCCAATTATATTATGAATATCTTCTTGTGGAATGTACAGTTAACTTTACCCAAAGAATTTGGTCTTTGTCTTTGGTTCTTGAGGGATAATCTCTAAAACCTTAGAATTTCACCACTGATATTTTGTTATACTAATGATGTGACTCGGGTAGGGGCTGGCCATGCTAGAAAGACCCATCAGGTAATATCAGCTCTAGCTCAGGGACAGGGCACTGGAGGTTGAGTTTAATCACATGGACAGTGATTCATTCACTCATGCCTGTGTAATGAAATCCCAATAAAAACTCTGGGCATGAAGCCCAGGTAAGCTTCCTGGCTGGTAATAGACATCAGTACATGGGAGAGTAATGTGTCCTCTGAGGCGTGGAAACTTCGAGTTGTGGACCCTCCCAGCCTCACCCTGTATGTGTCTTCGTTCGTGTCCTTTTTGCTGTAATAAAAACGGAATAGTAAGTATAGTGCTTTCCTGAGTTCTGTGAGTCATTCTAGTGAATCACTGAACCCAAGGGGATAGTGAGGACCCCCTGAATTTGTAGCTGGAAAGTCAGAAAGGAGGGTGTCATGGGAAACCCTTAGCTTGCAACTGGTGTCTAAGGTTTTGGGCAGACTTGGCAGTCTGGAGGATTGTGCCTTTTAACTTGTGAGATTTCACCTAGCTCCTGTGGTTAGGGTCAGAAGGAGGACAGCTGCGTTTGCAGTTGATGTCAGAGAGGATATTTAAAGTTGGCCTCAAAGAAGGCAGATAGATACGATGTACTTCTAATTTGTAACTTGTCATTTAACTTTTATCTTTCAAATTAACAATTATAGTCAAATTTGTCATTTTTTATATAAGTCAACATTTCCATTATCTTAAGAAATTAGTCTTCTGCCATAGGGTCTAAAAGATAATTCATTTTTATTTTCTATTAAATATTTTTTAATATTTTTAATATAAGATAGTCCAGATTCAGAAAACTGCATAAAGCAATGTATTTCAACTAAGATTTAAAGTGTTAACTTGACATTTAAGTCCTTAATCCATTTGGAGAGTTTTCTGTTTGCTTGTTTTTATATTGTGTGATGTATGGATCCAGTATTATTCCCAGATCCGTATATTGAATAATGCCACCTTTTGCTCTTGATATGACATGCTACTCTGCCATATACCAATGTTTCATACAGGTATACCTCAGACATATTTGTAGGTTCAGTTCCAGGCCACCTCAATAAAGTGAATCACATGAATTTTTTGC